AGTGGAGGGGATTGAGGAAAGGGTGGGAGAGGTGAAGGGAAATGTAGTCGATAATATTGTGATAAGTTTGCATGGTGACAGGGTTACTAGACTTAGTGGGGTGATCACATTGTAAGGTATAAAAATTTTAAATCATAATGTTGTACATTCAAAACTAATACAACTAATGTAATGTTGTATACTAACTATACTTAAATAAAAATCACAACTAAAAATAAAACAACATCGACAAGTGATATTTATTCCCCTTATTGACATATACTGGCCTACAAGGTACATGATCCAAACTAAAGAAGTAAAGATGCAGCCAAGTTAATGTTTTTTAAAATCACTGAAGTTGTGACTATATTGTGACTGATGACTATAGTGTTGTCTGATGCCAGGAGAGCAGCGCCGGGGCTCTGGTGTGAAACCATCCTGGGCAGGAAGGGCACGGCCAGCTCCCAGCACTCGGCACATAGCACACAGCGTCCGAGACGCTCGTGCTAGCATGTCCCCCACAGATTAGCCTCGGACGCTGGCATCTCCTCTGACCGGACAGCTCCTCCTTCCCGTGCAGCTCATCCAGTCAGGTGTCCAGTTCCTAAGCACTTCCCGCACCGCCTGCTTAGCAGCTTGGCAGGAGACACCTGTGCGCTTTCTCCAGCGCCCTCGGGGAGTCCCAGATACTCGGAATGTTTCATTTTATTTTACATTGAGGCTGGGATCTGGGGAAGACAGAAGATTGTCAGTAGATTGAATCCTTAGGCTAGGAATAGGGCCATGGGTGTCCAAGAAACAGTGTTAGGCTGCTCACTTCAAAGTGACAAGAAAACCGACATGTAAACATAGACGGAATTGTGACTGTTAAGAATCTGAACTCTTTTTTTAAATTGATTTGTGAGAGAGAGAAACAGTGATTTGTTGTTCCACTTATTTATGCATTCATTGGTTGATTCTTGTATGTGCCCTGACAGGGATTGAACCTGTAATCTTGGTGTATGGGGACGACACTCTAACCACCTGAGCTCCCTGGCCAGGGCAGAACCTGAACTCTCACACAAGTCATCAGGGACTAAAAGTTAGCACGTAAGGTCATCCTGATAATTCGCAAAACCTTTGCAATCCAGGCAGAGTAGACAAGAAGAATAGCCCTTCACATTGTAGGTGAAGGCAGGAAGCAGTCAAGTAGTAAAACAAGCCCATCAAAATCAAGCCAATTTTGCTAAAATTTTTACATAATTCATAGCTTTTCACACTTTTAGCTTCCTATAATCTAAGAGAAATAAGTTTCCTTTTCGCAACTTTCTATATCCATTCAGGTCTTGTCCTGAGTGTTCCTCATTCTGGAACAGTCACTTCACAGGCTCACTATTTCTCCCTTGTAAACGAAGCACATTCCGTGACCTTACATGCAGAGTTGTACCCATTGCCACTGCTGCTCCGGGTAGTTGCATTTAGATCAGTTAGGAAATGCAGACTTAGGAAACCCACAGGGCCATGCTGTAGAACTGTTCTCTCAGTGAGTACACATGCTTCATTTACTGGAGCTCAAGTCGACAGAAAAGATGAACAAACCCGATGTTCTGTTTCCTTCTCACCCAACAGAGAATGAATCTTTAAAACCATTAACCTATTGAAAGGAATCATCAGATGATCAGACTGTAAAACCAGTTCCCAAGAGTAGGAGAGAGCAAAATTCAAGTTAGAAAAACAGAGATCAGCCAAGTTCCCCTGTGCTTACCTCCCGGAGCCGGGGAAGATGGGCCGGGGCTTAGACGGGGCCCCGCAGTGGTGAGGGCTGCTTGGCGCTGGCCGGAGACTGCGGGGCATCTCCACAGAACCGCCAACTCTGTTAATAAAGAATGTTCCCCGAGATAAAACCACGACTCTAACACAGAGAGCAATGAGCATGTGCTGAAGAATTTATTTACTCATGGACAGGGGAGCCAGACAGATGCTGGTCTAGCCAGTTCAAAGGAGAAGTCAGCACTCAGACTTACATAGACTTAAAGAATGTTTAGATGAATCGCAAATGAAAACTCAGCTGCTTTGAAGGGCGTGGGGAGGGGAGAGCTGCCAGGCAGCACAGAATCTGTAGGTCTGTCAGTTAGAGGTGATTCCCATTACTCAGAGTGGCTGTGTTCTGTACGTCACCATCAACTCTCCCTTAGCGCACACCGAAACACTGCTCCTGCGAAATACAGGCTTACGTGCCTGGGAGCCTCGGATCACAATATTTCGTCAAACAATCAATACGTTGTTTTCACGTGTGTCTGTTTAAGGGCGTATTGCTGACTCACAGACATTGAACTCGTGGCCAACAGCCTGTCACTCACGCCCAGGGAAGCATCTCCAACGCGGGCTCGTCGCAGCCGCCCGCACTCGGGCCCGAGAACGCACTCGGGGCGGCAGGCGGCACAGAAATGAGGAGCCGGTGTGGCCGAGAGAGGCCATGCGAGGACACTTGTCGCCGTGTGAGGGTGACACAGGCAGAGCATGACCTTGCCTGACCTCAGCTGGGAGTGTGTGGGGTGACAGATGTGTCACTGCCCTGTGCCTGCCCAACGGCCAGGGGAGCACGGTCAGTACTGGGCTGGCAGGGCAGTTCTGGTGAGCAGGGGCCCAGCACCCGCTCTGCGACCAGGGGAGACAACCGAGAGGCCGGGCGGGCTGAGCTCAGCAGGCGTGAGGCAGCGCCTGTCCCATGACTCGCCCAGCACCTGTCTGTGGCCAGGGAAGCGTCCGGCTCTGGGGAGAGGGGAGTCTGAGGCCCTCCGCTGGGAGCCTGAGTAACTGCCTCGGGGGACAGGGTCCCCCCGTGCTAGGGAGTCCCGGGGTCTGGGTTACGAGGGTTCTGGGGACCCACACACACACCGCCCCCAGACCAGGCTCTGAGAGGGAGTTTTGGACATCGTGTGGCTGTATAGTTTTTTCTCTAGAAAAGTGTGTTCAAATTGCTGTTGACTGAGTTTCAGCTGTACTTTTGGAGCACAAACCAGGTTGTTTTTGTGGCAAATCCCTGATGGAGAAGTAAGAGGGACAGTACTATGTAGCAGCCGGGTCTGGCGCTTGTGCCAGATCAGGCAGTGGCTGTGCTCTGTACACAGTGGGCGGTAGGAAAATCATTGAGCTGCTCACTTCCGAGCTGAAGTCGGGTTTGGGGTTCGGTTATTAGAGGAGAGAGACCTTTCGCAGGCCTGGGGCCAGGGTACTAGAGGTAACGTATTTCACAAGTCCTAGAAGCGCTGATGGATGTTTCTCTGTATTTGTGTGTTACCGAAGCAAATATGACATGGGTTCTGCAAATGAAAATGAATGGAATTAATTTCCCTTCTCTGTCTCATGCCTCATACGTGGAATTCACAAGCCAATTGTTGTGGTCTGGTTTATTCAGAGGTTTTTGTTGGCATTTGAAAAGAATACACCAACATTCCTGTCATAGGAAGTAGAAAATGCCCACCTCAGGGTGCAGGGCCGACGAAATGCTGGGCGCGCTCGGGGGGGACAGTCCGGGGCTCACAGACGGCCTGCCCGCTCCCAGGGCTTCTGCAGGACGCGCCTCTGAGGGAGGCCGGCGCTCCAGGCATCCTGTGAGCCGTCAGGGCTGCAGGGCCGGCAGGTGGAGCCCTGTGTCTGGCTGCTGTCCCCAGTGCAGTGGCTTTGGCATCACGGGGGGGGGGGGGGGGGGGCGGTGGATGGGGGGCTCTGGGCGCCCGGGGAGCTCCCCCTGCAGGTGCTCCTGGGAGGAGGGCTGGGACCTGCGCTGCAGGGAGGAGAGGCTGGTGCACAGTGTCCCAGGGAACAGCACGCAGACTGGGCGCCGCTGTGGTTTGTAGGAGCCTCTTCAGAGTGTAGATGGCTTCACCTCCACAGTCCCGCTCAGAAAATCAAGTTTGAGTTATTTCTTTTAAACTCCCTTATTTTAGGGTAGAAAAATTCTCACAGAAACTTAAACATTTCACAAATAAAATTCCATTCTAAAATTTCTGCAGGATATATTTCATGCAAGTTGTATTATGTTTTTTCTTTTTTAAAGAAATACGTTTGTATTGATTTCAGAGAGGAAGAGGGGGAGAGAGATAGAGACATCAATGATGAGAGAATCATTGATCTGTTGCCTCCAGCCTGCCCCTCCTGGGGATCGAGCCCGCAACCCGGGCATGTGCCCTTCACCAGATTTGAACCCAGGATCCTTCAGTCCACAGGCCAGTGCTCTATCCACTGAGCCACGCCAGCCGGGGATGTTCTTCTTTTTAAGAACAAGTTTCAGATGGGAAGTGGAGAGATCAGCAGTTTGGGTAGCGTCCCTTTCAGTACAAGCGTGTCACGTCTCTTCCAGTGGCTGAGCCCGCCGCTTGCTCCAGAAGCCTTCGTGTTCCCCAGGGTACAGGGTTCGGCCTGGGAGAGGCTGTGCTGTGGAGTGTGGTGGGACCAGCGCGCTGTTCGTCCGGGCACTGGGAGGTAGACCCTTTGTCCGGTTCCTGTCAGAGGTCAGAAGGGAGCAACGGGAGAGGGATGGAGACGGGACTTGAGTTGTTAACCATCCTCATCCCCTGTGCAGCGTGGGGAGCACAGTTATCCAAGGAAAATGTGAGGGAAGGACCCTCCCCGCCCGTCCCCCATGGTGGCTGTGGCGGGGCATGTGGAGAAGGCAGGTCTCTTCCATTGTCTGCCTGTTCTCCCGGCACTCACCACCACCTCCCAGGCCCTGGAATGACATGTGTGTACCGTTGTCACCAGCAGCAGCGCTGTAGGCTGGCCCACAGTCCCGAGAGCCAGCACTCCGTAGCCCTAGGAGAACACCGCGCCAGTGGCTCTCTGTGGACCAGCCCGCCTCTCCCAGCAGGGACCTCATGGCATCTGGCTCATGAACAGAGCAGGGCGCAGAGCTGGGTCCGCCTTCTCATCAGTAAACACAATCCTTCTCCCTGGGGCTTGGCAGGCTGTTGGCCGCCTAAACCAGAACGTGACCATCGGGTATGTTTTGCATATAGTACCCGTTCCTCTCATTCCTTCAGCTCCTCTCACAGCGCCCTTGTGGGGCTGGAGCATGTGTGTTGGGAGACAGACTGGGACAGGGCACAGGCCCTCTCACACACCATTTGGAAGAAAAGAATACAGAGCAAGGAGAAATTGAGTTCTGAGTTACACCTTTAATTTAAGAGCTGGTAAGTCATCCTCAGACAATATTTTGAATCCTGTTGTCACAGGAACAAATTGCTAAGCAGGTATTTATATTTCAGATGTGTTGACATGTACTCCTGATGATAAATGACCTTGAATTTATGAGCATTCGCTTCTGCTCACAGCGTTCTTCAGGCACACTGCTTAATTCTGTTCCTGTGAGTCTGTTTTTTGTTTCCTAGGATGGAGCTACGACGTTGAAGAGAAGAAGGTTCCGAAACCCAAGTCCAAGTCTTACGGTGCCAACTTTTCTTGGAACAAAAGAACAAGAGTGTCCACAAAATAGATGGGCCTGCCCATCTCCGCTTGACTGTGAATGAAGTCAGCTGGGCAGTATTTACAGTCCATGCCTGCCACTTCTCTTACTCTCTGAATAAAGTTTCCCTTTAAACTGCAGGTGCATTTTGTGGTGTTTATTTTTAAGCTCAAATGGAACATGTTATAATTTTTCAATATAGAGACATTGAGATGATTATACCTCTAGGAAATTTCAGTACTTAAAGTCTATTAAAAAGGAGTGCTTGAAATTAGCTGCAACATTGAGGTTTTGCACATGCTTTTTATAGCCATTATCAAGTTCATGGTATTTATGAACTACCAGCCATCATTGTTAAAATGCTTAGAAAACCTTTTGTTTTATCAGGGATAGAGAAATTCATGATTACATTACAATCTCATAAACCTAAACCCAAATTTTACTATTGGCGTTTTCTTCTTTAATTAGAATTTTATGTTCTCTAAGCTTCTTTGAACCTGAATCAATCTACAAGAGACACATAAGAAAGAGAAAGGAATCCAAACACGAAACTAAGTCATCAATGTGCGAGAGAATAAGAACAGAGAAAAACTATAAAAACAATCAGAAAAGTTAATAAAATGGAAATAACTACATACCTATCGATAATTACTATAAATGTAAATGGACTAAATGCTCCAATGGAAAGACAGGGTGGCTAAATGAATAAATAAAAGACCCATACATATGCTGCCTACAAGAAAGTCACGTCAGACTGAAAGCGCGGGTAAGGTATGGAAAAAGATTCATGCAAATGAAGCTAAAATAAAGCTGTGGTAGTAACACTCATATCAGACAAAATAGACTTAAGGCAATGGCTATGACAAGAGGCAAAGAATGGCATTTCATAATAATGAAGGGGTCAATCCAACAAGAAGATAGAACTCTTGTAAACATCTATGCACCTGACATAGGAGCACCTAAACATATAAGCAAATATTGATGGACATGAAGAGATCAACAGTAATACAGTCATAGTGGGGGACTTGAACTCCGTATTGACATCAATGGACAAGTCACCCAGACAGAGAATTAACAAGGAAACAGTGGCCGAAAGTGATGTATTAAACCAAATAGACTTATTTTTGTGAAGTGCACATGGAACTCAAGTATAAGAGACTACTGACATCACAAACAGGATTATCAGGAAATACTATGAAAAATTAAATGCAAACAAGTTGGACAACCTGGAAGAAATGGATCAATTCCTAGAAACATACAATCTTCCAAGTCTGACTCAGGAAGAAACAAAGTGTGAACAGACCAATAATTACTAATGAAATTGAAACAGGATTCAGAAACTTCCAACAAATAAAAGCCCTGAACCAGATAGATGGCTTCCCAGATGAATTTTACCAACATTCAAAGAGTAATTCCTACCTATCCTTTAAAAATGTCAAAAATTTTAAGAGAAGGGAAGGCTCCAAAACGTTGTATAAGACCAGCATTACCTTCATATCAAAACCAGACAAAGACACTACAAAAAAGAAAATTATGGGACAATATCCCTGATGAACATAGATACACAAATCTTCAGCAACGTAATAGCAAACCAGATCCAGCAATACATTAAAAAGATCAAACACCATGATCAAGTGGAACTTTTTCCTGGCATGGAGCGTTGGTACAATATCTGCAAGTCAGTTAATGTGATACACATAAATAATGAAGAATAAAAATATCAATGGATATAGAAAATGCATTTGACAAAGTCCATCTATTTTTCATTAAAAACTCTCATCAAAGTAGAAATACAGGGAACATACCTCAACATAATAAAGATTGTATATGTCAAACCCACAGCTAACATACTCAACAGTTAAAAGCTGAAACCTTATTTTTATAATCAGGAACAAGATTAGATGTCCTCTTTCATCACTTTTATTCAACATACTATAGGATGTCTTCAGAACAGTAATCAGAGAAGAAAAAGAAGTAATATTTGAATTAGGAAGTAAAGCTGTCATTATTTGCCAATGACATGATACAACATAGAACAGTAAAGAAAAACTATTAGAACTAATAAATGAATTTAGTAAAGTAGGATGAAAAATTAATACTCAGAAATTGGTTGCATTTTATACTCTAATAACAAACTATCCAAAAGAGAAATGAAGACAATCCCATTTACATTTGTATCAAAAAGAATAAAATGCCTAAGAATAAATTTAACCACGGGGGTAAAAGACATGTACTCAGAAAACTAAGACATTGAAGGAGATACAAATAAATGGAAAGCTATACAATGCTCATGGATAAGAAGAATTAACATCTTTAAGTGTCCATACTACACAGAGCAATCCAAAGATTCAATGCAATCCTTTTCAAAATGCCAATGCATTTTTCACAGAAATGTAACAAGTAATCCTAAAATGTACCTGGAACCACAAACACCCGAATCTCCAAAGTCATCTTGGGAAAGAACAACGTTGAAGGTATATTGATATCAAACTATACTACAAGGCTATAGAGACCAAAACAGTATGGTACTGGCATAAATACAGACGCATAGATTAATGAAACAGAATAGAGAACCCAAAAATAAACCCATTTGTATGTGGTCAGTCTGTGACAGAAGAGGCACGAATATACAATGGGGTAAAGACAGTTTGATAAATGGTGTTGGGAAAGTGGACAGATACATGCAAAAAAACTGTAACTATACCACTAATTTGAAAAGATATATGCACCCCTGTGTTCTTTGCAATGTTATTTATAGCTAGTAGCCCTGCACACAGATCTGTGCACCAGTAGCTTGCTGCCGCCCTCCAATAGCCCTCTGCCCACTACTTTGCCCTCCTGTAGCTCCCCCGTCCCCCTCATAGCTTGCTGCCCTGCCCCCTCCTGTAGCTCTCTGCCACCTGCTTATAGCCAGTAGCTCGCTGCCCCCCTCCTGCTGATCCGTGATCCGGTCGTTATGCAGTCGGTCATTACACTTCACGGTGTAACGACCATTTGCATATTACATCGTTATTATATAGGATAGCCAAGATTCAGATGCAAGCTAAGTGTTCAATAGACAAATGGATAAAGAAGTGTTACATCTGTATAATGGAATATTAAGTATTAAAAAGGATGAAATCTTGCCAATTCTGACATGTTAACATGGATGGACCAAAGGGCATTATACTATGTGAAATAAGTCAGAAAAGACAAACACCATAGGATTTCACTTATATGTCAATGGTAATTGAAATTTAAAAAAAAAATTTAATTGGTACTTTTTAGCATATGGAAATTATATGTCAAGAAAATTGATGCTTTAACAATAAGACAACCTCAGTGTTATGTCACAGCAATATTTTCTGATGTGCGGGATTAATGAGCATTTGGTATGACTTATGGATAAAAAGATAAATGTAAAGTTTTTGATACTTGGTTGAGAAGATTGTGTTGTTAGAATTCAGATAGAGAATAGTCTAAAAGTCAGATTTTCCATTCCTGCAGTCATTTTCACCATGACTAGGATGGTCCACGTGGAATAAGGCAAAGTGAAGAAATTTTGGAAAGAAATATTACTCAAAATTGACATTTGTAAAAACCAAAAAAAATAAGATACTTCTCTAGTTTTCCATTATTGTGTAAAACAAAACACAACAAAATTCTTTACATACCTTATTTATTTAAGCATTCATTTTCTGGTGTGATTTGGTTTTCTGTTTATAAATCTGTGCATGGGAAGATGAATTCATTTCTAATTATACTGAATGCAAGATGCCAGGGAGCTACCCAGCTGAAAAATTCACAGCAGACCATTGGAAATGTGGGTCTGGAACCCAGCCTCCGGGCCAAGAACGTTGGTGGTCGGGTAATAATTAAAGGTATGGCAATGAATACAGTAACAAGAAAATGAAGAGAAGAGGTGGTAAGCAAGGAATAGAGGAGGCCAATAAAGGATTCTTCAAATGAAGAGGGTATCTTTAAGCACAAAGGCCACATCTCTTTTTCCATTGCTAGGTGCGTAGGATCAAGATGACTAGAATATCAGAAATGGAAATTGAATAAAGCTAGATGTATAACAGTAAACTATAGATCCACCTATGTTGTCACAAATGGCAAGATTTCCTTTTGTATGGCTGAATAATATTAAGGCATATAAATGAATACATATATGCCACACTTTCTTTAAGTCATCTATTGATGGACACTTAACTTGTTTCCATATCTTGACTGTTGTGAATAATGGTGCAGTGAATATGGGGCTGCATATATCTCTTCCAATTAGTGTTTTCATTTTCTTCAGATAAATACCCAGGAGTGGAATTGCTTGATCATGTGGTAACTCTATTTTTAATTTTTCAAAGAACCTCCACACTTTTCCACAGTGGTACACCAATTTACATTCCCACCAACACTGCACAAGGATTCCCTTTAATAATATGTCATTTTGATTGAAGTACATAAAGAAAATATAGCCTTGTACAGATAAGTAGTTGGGAAAGGAAAAGATATTTCTAAGAGCATTTTCAAATAATTGTGATTGGTCATATGTCATTTTCTTAAAATTTAGTTGCAATGTGAGGTTAGAAACCCTATCAATGAACTTTTCTGTTGCATTAAAATCCATTGATTTATCTTGTACTTTCAATCTTTTATGCATGCATGATTTTGTAACATCATACGTTGGCCATTTCTATATTGGTTCACAGAATTATGCCGATTTTCCAAATTTTAACACACTACATCATATAATATCCCCCCAAATCATATTTATCAAAAGCAGTACCAATCAAATTAAAAACATCTAAAAGATGTTTGGGAAACTAATAAACTAAAAGAAAGTATTGGGAAACTAATAAGCCTACAGAATTAGGACAAGTTTTCCAAAATTCACATTTTCACTTGAAAGCTCAGAGTGTGTCTTTGGATAAGATATTTTAGTTGTATCCCTCCTTTAAGTGATAAACTCACTTCATTCACTTTTGAGAAAATGTTTGCCAAATACACCAGTCTAAGTAACCATAGTTTATCTGTCAGTTTTTCTTTCCAGTGAAACTTGTTTCTCTGGGGGCGGGAGAGTGGGGGGCAGGGAGTGGCTAGTTTAGCAAACAATTCACAGCTGGCACTTCCCTGGAGGCAGCCCTCCCATGTCACTTTGCAG